AAAGGAGAAGAAAACACAAATATGAAACATTTGTGACAAAAATGGACTTTTCAAACATACATCCATATTTATTTAAAGTCAATTGTTGTATTTTATATAACAAATTTTATCACCAAAACATACTGCTCAGTTTTGTGCAAATAATTCACTACATCTTGTTTTTCACTAATCATTCCCATCTTGTCAGACATAATGTAGGACTCTTTTTCAATCGGATGTTTAGACTAAGAATCCGGCATACAGCTGATACACCAACAGGCTCTTATTCCAATTAGAAGTAATCTTTTAGGACCCTGATGATGCCTGTTATCAATACATTTGTCTACCAAAATACGTCATAGAGAGCGGGGTAACCCTATCACTAAAGTCGCAATTAAACTGAATGAAGTGAAGCTTTGATTTGATTTGATGCACCAAATTTACAAGAGCATCGGGCTGATATACAGTGGGTACAGAAAGTATTGAGACCCCCTTATTGTTTTCACAGAATGCACAACATTCACAACAATTTGCACAACAACGACATAGATAATACACTTTATATTTACCACAAACAATGCACAAAATCACCAAGAACCATTTATGTAATTAAAGCCATATGTGGACTGGGGGTGATTTTAACTTGACCTGCTTTGGTCAGTGACTTTTCCTCCTGTACATAATGGAGTGCTAGGTGTTGAGATAGGTATTCCCCCTCAACCTGTATTTGTTCACATGAAGTCACCATGTCCCCTCTGCCAGCAGCAGAATGAGCAGCTCCTGTGTGCAGTGTCCCTGTGGACAGACACACAACTGTCACTGCATCACTGTGAAGCTGGAGGGAACTTAGACACAGGACAATTCTCAGGCAGGTTCTGCAGCCTCTGCTCCTCTGGTTTCTACGTGGGTTTATGGAGGTTTGTTCAGGAGGGACGTCGGAGGTGATGAGATCCTCAGCAAGTGGACGTTACACTATAAGAGCCAAAGAAGGTGTTATGGTTTTATGCTTGCAAAACAGCCACTAATGGATGGGAGTGTATGGAGGGGGGTGTCACTGGGCATAGCAGTAGAGGATAGACTGATTAATATCATCCGTGCACTAGTTGGGAGTCTCTATTATTTGTTGACTGATGAGCTGGGATTTGGGCCTGTTAGCCCCATGAGCATCCTGTAAGATGATGTTTAGTTTTTGCAATAAATGACCAAAACATAGTTACGGAGTAAGAATTTTATTTTTGATAGCTGCTACAACACACACTGAATCTGATCAGCCTGTGTTTCACATCTATGTAGATTATGACGGAGTGTTTTCTTTTGGATTTCACTCAAATTTACATCTGAATGTTCTTTATAGACCAGTTCTTCTAATTTCACTATGATTAGTGTTCAGTGAAGGTTTCATCACCCACCTCCCCTCATGGTGTTAACTCTGTCTGAAAGGGCTTTAATCAACATGTTATAACTAGAAACAACAACTGATAACAGATAGAACTGAACCTAAACTCTCACTGCACCCACTCTATCCACTGTAGGGATACCTGAGGAGTGTGGCCTGTCCAGGGCCCAGTCGCAGG